TCTTAAAAACTTGGCTTTTCACGAAAACTAATTCTATTTAAATAAAAGAATTTATATTTAAATATTTATTTATTTAAGTAGTTAAATTAAGAATAAATATTATTTTGTTTCTTAGATATTTTTTCTCTCAGTGTAATAAGAGTCGAAATTTTTGTAGCCAAGTTATTAATAAAAATGAAGCGATACTGTGGAAAAAAAATTTGTGTGTGTAAAGTCAAGTCATTTCAATTGACTTGATATTTTTTCAATGCATTACATATTAAAAATAAAGATTTGCTATTTATATAAATCATAAATAAAATATATCGTCACAGACACTGCCTAATAATGCGTGAAAGAAGCAGGTTACATTATTTGATTATTCAGTTTTTATCACTATTAAGTACAAATCATTGAAATTTTCAAAAATATTTAAGTCATCCGGTTTCTTGTATGTCGCACAATTTAATATCAATATTAATTTTGATTTCAACTTTAATTTAATTTACGGAAATATATTTCCGTACTCAAATTTTACCTTTTCTGTCATACTGACAGGCACTCGTGAGTCAAAGACAAAAAGTTACCACGGTTTCAGTTCTATATCCTGCTTCTTTCTACACATTAAAACTCGAAAACATTCGTGAAATTGCGCCGCCCAGATGATCATGATCGCGCCTTTAAGAATTTTAAATACCCATTTAAAACCTATTTAAAAAGCACGTAATTAAAGAAACGAGACTACAGCCACGCACAGTTCTCAACGAAAAGCAAGCGTCCTCCCGAGCCTGTCAGACTCGAGACGAGAGCTCGGTCGGTGCGAAGGACCAAGCGGCGGAGGAGCGAGCGGCGGGAGTTGATAACGTGCCAGCTGTGCGCAGAAACGAAGGTTAAGTTAGGTTAGGAATGGCGTTTGGGGGTCGCGGGGTCAATCCGCGGGATCGAACGACCCGACGCGCGATCACGATGCAACGGGCAGGTTAGGTTAGGTTAGCCCGCAACTGGTTAGGTGTAGAGGTACTCACCTCGTTGAAGGCCATCTTCTTCGCTATGCTTCCGGACTCGCGGCTGCTTCCGGCGCCTCCTTGCCCCACCGCTCCAACAGAAGGGTATCCTCGCAGGGAGCTGCCGGGCTAATAATCCCAGCAGCAGTAGAAGCAGCAGTAGCAGCTGATCTCGCTTGTCCAAAAGAGATGCTCCTCCAAAGGAGGGCGACAGCGCATCGAGACCACTGACGGCACTCGCGACGCGACGTCGACCACGATGTAGGAAACGTGGACGGCAATTTAGACGACGACGACGACGATAACACTCGCGACGACCGACCCGTCTGACGAACCTCCGCGACACACATACGTCACGGGGAGAGGAACGACCGAGATTACCTCTTCGCGAGGGAATCCCCACGAGCGTGCTCCGGGTGCCGACGTCGACGCAAGGTCGTTTTTTTTTTGCTTCTTCCTCTTCTTCTTTCGCTGTTCCTCCTCGTCACTGACCGCCCGCCGCCGCACGCTGCGCTACTGCCGATCCAACCTGCCGGGGGGCCCGCGGGGGACGATCTGGCATTCCTCAGGTGGGCACCCGTTTGCACCCGGGAGCGCCTCCGTGGCGCCGAGACACCGTACGAAAAAGCCCGCCCGCACCGAGGGCTTTCGCGTCGCTGTGCTTCCGCACGGAGTGTGATTGCGACGACGAAGACACGATGACACGACGACGACGACGGCAGCGTTTTCGTCACACTTGTATTCACAACGCGTGCGACGTCGACCGGCGTCGACGGATGCGCGCACAATCACCGATCGTCACCGACCACCCGATCGTCCATAACCCGCTTCTCGGCACTGTGTTTTTCTCTCTTTTTTACGCGTATTTATATCTACCGCAGAGGTATCCGCAAACAGACGGCCGCCATCTTGCTTTCTGCCAGTCGGCGGAGCGAAGCGCGAGTGGCATGCGCGCGCCGCCGCACAGCTGTGTGTGCTCAAGCGGCGAGCCGGCGGTGCTGCCGCGTCGCGTCGCGCCGACGAAGCACGCCGCAAGCGTAGCGAAGCGCGCCATTCTCAAATTGGCGCCATCGGTGGCACGCCATTGAGTCACGTACCGAAGTAGATTTCCGCAACGACAATCGCAACTACGCATTGACGATCGAGAATAATCAGTCCGAAAGAGGCTATCGGAATATAAGAGAAGATGCCAATTATGCTTTTCTCTTCATTCGTTTCGCTACAAAGTTTCGTTCTTGCAACGTTATTTAAACTTATAGGGTATTAGAAGATATTTAGGCTGCATTCGCTTTGGAAGTTACTCTTTTATTAAATAGTATAATATACTAGTATAGTATATAGAAAAGTACTTCTAAATATGATCTTCTGAGAGTTCAGAAGTCTTAAGCACTTGATTGCACCAACCGAGTAGTAAGCTAACAGTTAAATCATTATGTCTGTCTTTGTCTTTCGTCCGAAATAAAGGCAGACACATGATAGCTAGCTTACCATTCGACTGACGCAACTAGACCTTAATATTTTAGGAAGCTTTATAAAAATAGCAAGAGAAACAAGTATCTAAAATAATATCCCGAAACAGAACTCAAATCTAACTATATGTACTTTTCTAAGTAGAAGCTAAACGAACTCAATGATTCTCCCTTGATTGCAGTATCAATTGGCCTGTTTTTTCGGCTGCACTGCTGACCTGATGCAATAAGTTAAAGTGAGATAAATATATGTTTTCTCACTCTAACTTGTTGCACCAGTTCAGCAATGCAGCTGAAAAGAACAGACCAAATATTAGATCATAGTCTGTATGCAAGCGGCTTAGAAAATAATATACCTTTTGTCTTTGTTGTTCCCTCAAAAAATCAACGATCACGAAATGAGCGAATGAGCAAGTACGATGCGTGTGATTGAAACATTTTACGGATCAGCCGTGAATCTCGTCCTCCATCGTGAGCCCGCGAGGAGAAAAGAACTTTTCAATCGAAAGAGTCATTAAATTTTTCGCGATTTATATTAGAGGGTATTCGTGATCGATTCACGAGCCGTAAGTTTAATAAATGTGATTGGTTGAATAATCTGGACAAGCCAACATATGACGATCACCTGATTGGTCGAATAAAAAATAAGGAATAAGGAATCGAGAATAGAGAACAGGAAACAGAGTATAGGGGACAGTTCAATATTAAAACATGAAACTTAATTCATCAACGCAGAATAGAGGGACAGAGGAATAGCGTTATTTCTTGTTTTCAGTATCCCTTATTCCTTATTCCAGAGAGAAGTCTGAGAGCGACCACTAGCTTGATTTTAGTGGCCAGAGGCATATTTTCGAGACGCCATCTAACAATCTGCGCCTTTACTACGTTCGTTAAGCGCATTTTCGCGGCGGTAACGATAAAATGCGCCTAGTTCGTATCCGTTGTACTTCCGTACAATGAAAGTTAGAAAAGGACAGACGTTCTCGCTCTGTTCTTGTCTCATCACATGAGCGGACCGCGCGACGTAGATACGAAGCGAGCTAGCGGCGAACTTATCGCAAAGCTAAATCATCTCTCATAAATCTCGTCTTTCTCGCGTTGCATTCAGCGTAATTTTGTAAAGAAAAAAGATTTGTAAAAAATTGCGACAATCTTTGTGCTCAGGCCCTAACAAACGTAGTAAAAACATACTTTGTTAGATGGTGTCTCGAAAATGCGCATAGTAGAGACTCTATAGTAAGAGTCTTGTTTTGTATTCTATTGGTGTCGACAAAATATGGCGGAACCAATAAGGTGTTTGGAAATTATATTGGATGCGCGGTATTATTCAACTAGTAAGAATAGAAGAATTGATTAAAATAAGAAAGCAAATTTAATTTTAACAGTTTTATTTACATAAAAATGCAATACAAAATAATATAATGTCATTTAATAGTAGAAAGCGTCGCCATAGTTTTACTACTGAAAATTTTATTTTTTAATCGCCCTTTCTTGCAATCAATTTTTATGCGAAATCGAAATCTCATCGAAAAACCTTTCTCCGTACTATTAAAACAATTAAGTACGCAACAGTCAGGCATTTTCTACAAAATTGTATGCAACTTGTAAATATAAAATACAGTATTAAAGGTTAGGAATTTATTTTTATAACAGCATGCATATTTTTATAATACTTTTTTCTATATATTTTACTTCATTACAATATTATATTATAAATGACCTGTTTTACTTGTTTGATATTTTATTATTTAATATAAGATTCACAAGATTTTTTTTCTTTGGATCACATCTATCTATGTCATATCATCACTGTTTTTGTTTTACGATGCCATGTTTTGTCGAATTAGAAAGACTGTCCAGACTCTTAGGGCTATCGCACACAAATTGACATAACTGCATATGCATAGCATAAGATCGTATGGACCAATGAGCATCGAATATTAAACATCGAACACCAATATGGCGACTTAATACTCGATGCTCATTGGTACATACGGTCTTATGCTATGCATATGCAGTTATGTCAATTTGTGTGCGATAGCCCTTACTATAAGGTTTCTAGTGCATAGCTCTGGTCATTGAAATCAGACTAGCTCTCATGCTTCTCTTCACTTATTCTCTGTTCCCTGTTCCTTATTTCTTTTATTGTGTAATGTTCTATGCACAATGCCAGGTAACAGACAATAGGAATAGGGAATAGGAAATCAGATTGGTCAATTATTTCTATTCCCTGTTCCTATTATGTCTATTCCTATTGCCTGTTGCCTGGTATTGGCCTGGTTTACATCTGCACTTGATACATATACTAAATAGTAACTTTCTATTAGAAAATCTTAATATCGACAATGCATATCAACAGCGATGCATTACGATTTGTTGATGAGTATTATATCAGCTTAATATACCGTTGTTTATATATATCGTCGATATTAAGATTATCTAATAGAAAGTTACTATTTAGTACGCGTATCAAGTGCACGATGTAAACCAAGCCATTGTGCATAAGACTTAAGTCCCTAATTTCCAATCTGCACGTTCCTCGTTGTAAGTGCAGACAGTACACTTAGGATGCGTTCGGAGAGCACGCTACTAACGCTACCGCGTTCTTCTATCTTTATTGTTCCTTAGATGTACAACAAAGATATTTTAGTGCTGAATAGAGCTAATAGCGAGCTTCCCGAACTCACCTTTAGTCGGTGCAACTACACGACAGCGCACGAACATTTTCAAGGCAGAATTTAAAGATGGCCGTCGGCTCAATGGCATAAAAGAATCGTCGACGTAGTGTGGGCGTAAAAAACAGTAATCGCTTCAGTGCTTTAAATCATTCAAGGGGAGTATCCAATCGGACTCCTGTTTAACACGAACGTGTGCTTCTTCGTAAGTCGCAATTGAGCCCAGTGAGAAAACGGTTAAGCTCAGCAGGATGGGCCGCTCGCGATCGAGGACGAAATCACCGAACAGACGGCGACACAAGAGCAAACATTCTCGTAAACGATCAAAATCGCGCGAAAAGCATTCCAACAACAAATATTCAGACAAACCCAAGGAACGCAGCTCCAAATCCAGGTACGTCCTCCAAACGATTCTTCACTGCTACTTTCTCGCTTGTTCGCAAAATCCTATTTACATTCGATGTACGTTCGGCCATTTTGTCGTGTTCCGAGTATTAACTCGTTCCTGTCAACAATAGAAATAAAATTCTAAACTTACGAATCATACCACGTATCTTGTTGCTATGCAGTGACTTCTCGACTCTATACATATGTCTCATTTCGCTTATATCCATTTGTGCTAGCACTTGCTTTATATGAGTTCCTACATAACAGAGAGATTAGGTCTATTCTTTTTTTTAATTTCCTTTGAAAGAAATAAATATATAGCTGTGACTTGGTGTAAAAAAGAGAAAGATAAGACTAGTGTAAGCTAGTGCAGCCAGTTCAAGGAACAGACCATTTGTTTCGCTCTAACTTATTGAATCAGTGTACTCCAGCTCAACTGGCTGCATTAGCTTGCGCTAGTTTTCTCTCTTTTTTGTACCAAATCACAGTTAAATACCTATTTCTTTTTAACTTACTAAAGTGTGTACTGATTCAACTACAAAGAACAGACCTAAGTTTAAAGTCCTTCAGAATAGAACACAATTAATATGTGCATTCATTAGAATTAACATTGGTTGTACTTGGTTATTGATTTAGAAAGCGATCCCATTCTGCATCATCTAGTAGTGGCTCAGATGTATCGGATGATGTGCATATTGTCAGTCATAAGAAACGTTCGTACAGGGACAGGGATCGAAAGATGGACGAGGTAGAGAGACTAGCAGAAATGGAGCGGCAAAGGTAAGCAGTAATGGTAAAATATGAGAAATGTTCCTCTTGATAAGCTGTATTAGGATTGGAAAATGCTATGCTTATTTCTTGTTGATACTGTTTCATTGTTGTACCATTGTAATTTCCCAGCCTTATTTTGTTGCATATCAAGTGGAACATTTGCAGTTATTTTATATCCTAAATTCCTTGTTATACGCTATTTTTTATAATTGTGTTGTCAGGAAAAAGAAAGAATTAATGAACAAAATCTTCACCACGAGCACAATTGGGTAAGAATGTGTAGTTACTTCATGGTGGTGGTTTATCTATCTAACGTTTATCGATTTATCGTGTTGTTTCCTGAAAAACAAAAAAGAACACTTTTAGCTTCAGCATTACGCGAAAGCAACGACAATTTCTAAGTAACATCCTGTTCAACCTCACACTTGATAAATATACAATATCTATTCATATAATATTATAATTATTGACCAATTACATCAGTGGACTTTGAAAAAGAGTTATAACACTTAAAGTTCAATTGAAAACTTAGCATGCTATTAAACACAATTCTGTAAGAAAGAAAAGAAATAGTTCTAGAGTGGTGCTGGAAGAAGATTGCTGCTTATCTGTCTGCAGACGTCAGCGTGAGGTGGAACAGAAGATGGTAGAAGAAGAAGCGGCCAAACGAATAGAAGAGCTTGTGCAAAAGAGGGTGGAAGAGGAGCTTGAGAAACGTAAGGAAGAGATTGAGGCCGAGGTGCAGAGGCGGGTGGAGGAGGCGAAAAGGGCCATGGAGCGTCAAATGATGGAGGAAATGGAGTGGAGACAAGCAAAACTACGTGAGGAGGAGAAACGAAGAGAGGTAAGATCTATCCAAAGAAACATTGGCCAGTGATAGCCCAAGCGCTGTTACGATCAACAGGAAAAGCAAATCTAGTACTCTCTTAGTGACTTGTATTATCGAAAATCGAGACATAGAATGTATTTTCGCGAGAAGTGAGCTTAGCTAATGTTATTCAGGTCGTAGACAATAAATTTCAAGTGAGCTGCAATATACGACTTCGAGAACATCAAGTCGACATTTCTGATGAACAAATAGTAGAAAACGTCCAAAAAACAAATACAGTTGAGGCTTTGGCAGTAGTCGTTAAGCCAGACCGCGTGCAATTTGTAGATCTTTCTCCTGATCTTTTAAATCTTGTGTTACAAAACCACAACTACACAGGATTTACAAATTGTACGGGCCTATCTTCCTCTTTGAGAGATTTTACTATTGAACTGTGTGGGCAATTTTATCAGTCCAATGTCTCGCGATCACAGCGTTTGGGCTTGAAGCATTGTGGTTCGTGATTATACCGCGACAGAATAATTGAGCGGGAATAACCACACTGCTTCGGCTTCTCAGCATCCACCGTGGTCACATTGTTGAGAAGCTGAACTTTTTGCGTTATAAAAGAGATTCTACTATCATTAGGCGCATGTATCGGTTATTTATGATCAAAATATTTGTACCATGTATATATATATATTTATATATCTGTACAACATTATAACCTTTTTCATCACATAATATCTGGATTGACGTTTGTATCAACAATCTCGAAAATCGCGCTCAAACTGCCCCGATTCCCTTGAATCGGCAGTTTTTGCTCACAGTTTCTGTGATTGTTGTGCATGCTGGTCAGGCAAACCTACAAACCTATCAGTCTAGTTTAAAAAGAAAAAAAAATGTCCGCGTACATGTGGCTATCCACGTAATCACATCATGCAGACATTTTAAGAGAGTAGTAGAGAAAGTATCGTTGATTAAAGTGATAACGATCCCCCAAACTTTGTAATTTATCGAACGAGTTCGAGTTTATCATTCTTGAGTCTGAAATAAAGTTATTTTTGTATAAAACCATAGGAAAGTCATATTTTTCCCTGAACAGTTACTTACTGTCAGTCGGTGTAGCGATAATATTAACGAAATTATTTAAAAAATACATATGTCGAGTACTGCAGATAAAGGATCAGGATCCGCTACGGAAAGATATTATTGGACTTTCTCGAATATTTTCGCATGATTACTTTGTTACGGCATACAAAAATGTATGTATTACGATTTTACCGTTGATATGATTTAATTTACTTTTGTACTGACATTATTTTGCATATATACTTGCTTATGGCAAAGAATACTCCTAAGCGTAGCTTTTTCTGCGTATTTTTCTCTCCATATACATACATAGATGAAACATAAGTATTGTCTCCTAAATTTTCCACATTATTTAACATTGCAACGATTCGCAATTGATTTAACGGTATATCGTTTCACTCCTCAACTTTAATTTTCGTGCTTGCCTGGCAATTCTTATGCGGAAATACATTAATTACCGTGGAAAAGAACCGTAAACTTTAATTTGCGCGCCGGAAACCCAATCGATCTGTTTTCGAATCGGAAACGATCGTTCCCCTTTTGTTTCCTGTGGTTGACTAGAGTTTTACTTGCTGTAAGATGTTCTTTTGTGTCTACGCACAATTATTTACTTTCACTTCTTTAGAAAATCAACTTGTTTTTATCGGGTGTACAGCAACCTCGATTACAAGTCGATCAGAAAGAAGTTACTCTCATTGCTTTGCACATTAAGTTTGCACTGAATATATCTACAAGTTTGGGAAAAGGAATTTGTTAGAAAAAGGGAGAATGTAGAAACCTTGAGGGGGCAGAATTAGAATCCCTTAGCGACAAAGCACGACCTAGCGATATATAGGTCAACCTTCCTTACTGACTACCAACAGAAGATGCCGGTTTTTTACTCACTGCTGAGTGATCGATGAAGAAGGCATCCCCTACGTGCTGGCGTATGAGCTTCATTCAGGTATTATCCAATTTATCTATTCATAATTCATTTTTTATACCAAATATTATTATTATCATGTTATTTGTTTCAACACTTTGTATACCGGAAAGACCATACTAGGATTCATTTTAGACTCGCTAAAATATTACCATGGGACACAACGAATTTTGTCGACAGGTCGGGCGGATGGCAACACCCATTCATAAATGTACCTTAGGGTATCAATTTCTGAATTATGATCTACAGACTCCAACGACACACATGTAGAAAACTCATTTACAGACACCACAGACAAATGATTACAAATACTATTATCGCTAGAATATACGACACACTTATCGCATCTAGCCTTTATCATGCACTTATCGCGTTTATGAAAAGTAAATTGCGATTTTGTGTACATTCCTTGCATGCACATTGGATTCTTACGAAGTTATAAGACATTCTGTTTTTCTTTTTTTTTTTTTTTACTCAAGTGATATTCTCTCAGTCATCGTGTTTCCATCTCTGGGGGAGTCTGAGAAAAAACAGCGTTTGCTGGCATCTAAGAGGAACACATTTGACACAAATGAAGGAACTGTGTTTATATATACGTGTCCTCTATCTTTTTTTTCTCTCTCTCTCTCTCTCTCTCTCTCTCTCTCTCTCTTTCCCTTTCTTTCTCTTTCTTCTTTTCTTTCTTTTTCGATAAGCCATTTCTTTTCTTTGAAATCCAACCTTAAAAAATTTCATCGATCCCGAACTTTTCCACAAAAAAGGTTCTTAGGATGTGTAACACTAGGCTGTTGACATAGCGGCACTATGATTTCGAATATGAGCGATGTAACAACAGCTGGTGATCAACAACATCATTACTTCGTGTAAACATATTCCATTGTCATTGTAGGAGGAAGAGCGGAAGAAGCGTGAGGAACTAGAGAGGATTATGGAGGAGAACAACAGAAAGATTGAGGAGGCTCAGAAGAAATTGGTAAGTCGACCGTATGCTGCAAGTATGCTGAAATGAGGATTATGAGACGTATTACTCATACATACGTAAAATCAGGCTGAAGAGAGATTGGCTATGGTCGAAGAACAACGATTAATGGAGGAAGAGAGGCAGAGAATGAGGAAAGAGCACGAGAAACGTGCCAAGGAAGAGCAGAAGAAGATCCTAGGCAAGAACAACTCAAGGCCTAAATTATGCTTTACGCTAAAGTCAGCTACGTGAGTCCGTATTATTTCGTGCAGTTTTATATGTGATATATATGTACACAATCTTGTTAGCTTTCATACATGATCCATAATAACATCCGCCGAAAACGGTACACATGTAGGTGCATAAGCGAGTACAGTAACGTAAGATCCAAAGCTCACCTTAATGTATTCAGAACGGCTGTCGAAATCGCAAAAGGCGACATTGTATTTCGTTTAATCGTAAGCCGATGATGGACGCGTTCGAGTCGAGTGACCAATTCTCTTCTCGTGAGATTTCAACACAAATGCAAATGGAATTTCACTTTGCGCGAGATTACACTCATATCAGAACGAACAAATATAAAATATTTAGTATGTATATCTTAGTATGCGAGTATGACTGTCTTTTTATTTTAGTGTATAGTCAATTAGCTTCGACACGTGAAATTTAAAGTTTCTAATCGATTTATTTGTTCTGTCTAATGTGAGTGTATTCTACTTGAATGTGTTTTACGACACATATGCAATCTGTATATTGTAGGTCTTATATTATCTTAATGTACAAAGGGCATAATGATTTTGTTTCAGTGAGTGATAAATCACTTGTAATTAATTACGTTATACATGAAAATTCATTGATAATAGAATATAACTTCTAATGTCGAGTCGTTAGATTGACTGAATATAACTTTACATTGAGCGCTGAATACGATACACGACGATTGTTTCCTTTTTCCAAGGTTGGTGTGTACGGCCATCTGTAAAATCTAACACTATTTTAATAGTGAAGTGGCAAATTTTTATGGCAATGTTAATTGCCGAACATCTTACAATGGCATCGTTTCATTACATACATAATCACATTTTTAGAATCTAATGCGAAATACTGATGCAGAATGTATTCTGCCAAATAATAACGATGGTGATAGCATTTTTTAAATCAAAAGTAAAACACAAAAGAAACAGAGAATATATAGCTATAGGAATAATTATGAAAGAGTAGAGAAATTTATACGTAAATAACGTATGAATGAGGGTATGGCATCATCCTATATGTAGACATACTATAACCATATGTACACATATTGTTTTTTGTGAAAAAGAAAATTTCAGTTTATGTGAAATTGTATACTTATGCATTGTTACTTGTAAAATAAACAAGTTTTTAATAAATCTTATGATTAATTCTTCTACGTCGCGCGACGTTTGGTAAAAAAAAAAGGAGCATGAATGTACTCGTACAACAATTGCATTGAGTTTTGTAAATCAGAACAAGTCGAGCAAAAGAGTTAATTCCGAAAGATTCTCTATGAACAGTTCATATACTTTGACTTACAGATAGAACTATGATTAAATTATCCACACAAGAACGCAATGAATGATTCAAGAATGGACCTTATTTTGAATTTTGATCGGGATATATTTTCTGACGATAACGGTTATGTGTAGAGACGAAAATGTTAAAATTCCGAAAGTTTACCAATATACAGAAGATATTGAAGAGAATCATGATGACGTGCATGTCGGACAAAAACTGCTTTTATTTGAAAAAAGAAAAAAGAAATATTCGTTTCATATTTGTCTAATGTTAAATCTTTCGTTTAGATCCTCTCTTAAACTGGCATGATATTAGATGTAAAATCGTATGTATGCTAATACGAAATTGCTCTCATCACGATTGGACGAATGATCCGTTACTAGACTGAAATTGAAGCGATTCTTTACGAAATGAGATTTCGGAGACGCGATTTTCGGCCACGATATGCGGCTACGTTAAAACTGCGATCTTGGCGGTGATTTCGGGGTGGCGTATAAACCTTTGCCACGAATACCAAGACTCGCGCCTTGTCCCATGACCTTAACGCTACACAGCGGATTACGTTGTTTGTAAATACACTCGAATCTTCCGTGAGGCGCTGTTTTATTTTTACGGCGATCTAAAACCACTGAAGATCACTACAGTCAGATTTTATACAACACTTCAATATTGTCTTGATATCGCGTGACGTACCTTTCATCGCGTCCTCTATCACTTCCGGGTAGAGTTTTGCGGTGACCTGACTGCTCGGCGGATGCAATCGCGGACTTGTATTTATCTCCAGCAACCACACGGAAAAGTCATCCGCCACTAGGAAATCAGCGCCGTACAGCTGGAAACTGTTTTTACGATTCACCATGTTATCTTGAGACGCCAGAAGCGCGCCTATCAAATTTTGCTTTATCCCCGGCTTGATAGTGCTCTCCCAAGCCAGCTCTTGATCACGCGATCTAAACCAACAAGTTGACCGATCGATCGTAGCTTAATGCAATATGCGAGAGAAAATCAAAGAGACAAGCACTGAAGATAATCTTTGAAGTTCTGAAGATTCCAATGAAGCTCCTCAGGTACATCGGAACTGCGTCTAGGTAATTTGCGATACTTCAGCTGCACGGTTGTATTGCACAAGTGGATGGACTCGTGAAAATCGCTGAGATTGAAGTCTCTCGACGCGAATCGTATCAAGACGTCTCTGATCGGAAAAAAGCGAAAGCGATTATCGAAGATCCTTGAGAGGCATAAATGCCACGTTGACCGAACTGCAAATGCCATACTTGTACATCCACACGACGAGAGGTTGCATGTTTGTTATCAAGAACCACTGCCTGATGTCTATCTTCGTCTTATGAACAAGCAACGGGCGCTCTGAAAAATTGCAATCGCATGCAATGTAAAAGTTTCTTTTTCTCAAGGGCATTGGAAGTAATAAAGTAGAGGAAATTTTCTTGCTTAGAGAATGTTACTTAATTGCCTTAATTACCTTAATATACTCAGTACTTCTCTATTTTACATTTTGCGCATTCAAAAACGCTGAACATTCAGCCGATGCATACCTATATATTTCTGTATGACGTACTGAGTGTTCTCCTTCGTCGCTTGATTGACCTTGGCAAGTATATCGATCAGAGAATTCTTCAATACGATTCCACGTCCCAAACTATTGTCACCTGGTTTCAAAATCCAGATATTGCGCACGCCGTCGTATCTACTTTGCGCTCGATATTTCGTCATTGCTCTCACCATATCGCGCGACAGTATTACAAGCTCCTGTAAATTCCAACATATCTCTCTTTTTACTCGGCCAAATCGCAAACGGGCCGATTTTGAGTGTTTGGCCGTAGCACGTACCTTCGTGTCGACTTCGTCGCTTTTTTCCAACAAAGCGTGCTTGTTTATTATTTTGTCAAACCAATCTAAAAATTGATGCCAGGCAGCGACAGACACGCGTACGTGCTCTTTGCGATCTATGTCCTCGTGCATTTGGATGCTGTGAAAGATATTTTGTACGGTGCATTATCTTTCGGGACACACAGCACGCGAATATACTTTGCAACCTTATATATTCTGCGCAACGATCTAGGGCGAACGAAATCGCGTTTACGGGAATCGTTCCGTTCGGAGAGCAAGTGTCTTTTGATCCTATCAGGCTGGCGAACAACAAAAACCATTTGAGAATCCCCAAACACGCGGTGATGTAATAATCTTGTATAAACTCCTCCACTTGCGCCGGCTGTCAAAGATTACATACACGGATAACATATATATATATAGTGTCTCACACTCTCCTCCGAGCATTTTGTGGAAACGTAGAACAGGTTGAGGTGAACGTAAGAGTCCTATACCGTTTTGCGATATTCGCAATAATTATCGAGATATTAATTGTAGAAAACTTGTAAATGATAATGCAGAATATGGTAAATAAGTTACAGTAGCGACAACTGCCGTCGTTTACTTATATTTTAGGTCAAATTGAACAAAAAAGTCCTCTACTATTTTTCAAATAATCACATAGATTTTTAATTATTAATTAAAGAAGATTATTACACGATTTTGCGTGATAATGCACTTATCTTCTTTAATTAATAATTAAAAATCTATGTGATTATTTGCAAAATGGTAGAGGACTTTTTTGTTCAATTTGACCTAAAGTATAAATACACGACGGCAGTCGTCGCTATTATAACTCATTTACTATATTCTGTATGATCATTTACAAGTTTTCTACAATTAATATCTCGATAATTATTGCGAATATCGCAAAACGGTATAGGACTTTTATGTTCAACCTGTTCTACACAACCTGTTCCCACAAAATGCCCGAAGAAGAATGTGAGACACCCTGTATATATAGCAGTATACATATCTTATATTTATAAGATTTCTATGTTCTTTTTTGTCGCGGCCATCTTGATTAACATCAGAAGAGCGAGAAAATGTATGTTCAAAATTCCTGCGGAGAATACGTCGAAATAAAAATTATGTCCATAAAATGACACTTGTGATTAATTGAGCATATTTGCAAAATATTCCGAAGACTTCCATTTTACTTTAACAATCAATAAATAGCCTTAAAATTAACGTGATAAAATCGATGATCGACGAGAAAAGTTAAGCTAAAAAGTAAAGTGGATGTTACATTAATTTTACGGTTATTTACCGATTGTTCGAACAAAAGGAAAGTTTGCGGAATATTTTACAAATGTGCTCGCGATCGATCACTTTATGGACACACCCTTTAATTTCAGCGTATTTCGTAGAAATGTTAGGCATGCGTTTCCTTGTTTCTGACGTCATCGATCAAGAGTTCCGCGGCGAGAAGTCTTGGGAGATCTTACAAGTTTATCTCAAGATGTTTTATAGCCGATGAAACGGCCTTGGTAACATCTTAAAATAAACTTGAGAGATCTCGAGTATAAAAGTCAAACCGTGTGGAAATACCATACATATAGCGTAATAATTGGAACGCTTTGTCATTCGCACCTGACAGACATTGTAGCATCGAGGGAAGTGTATGCAAGACACGCCATCTTCGTGAAACCAACACGCGTTCTCCAAATTGTTACACATGTCGACCTGGATAATACACTAATTGTACATCTCGTGCATCGCAGCATGTACTTTCATTAGGTTAGATTACCTTGGACGTGAAATAACTCCCGGCAAATTTATTAACGATCGTTCTCTCGTCCGCTCTGATAATAGGCAGCTTCCTATTTGTATACCATATCAAATCAGCGGGAGTGCGTAGCAATTTTTCGATCTGCTCTGTGCCATCTACGAGAGAAACATTAAAACTGGTTAAGATCGACCAATGGATTACCGCTGGATATGCGCGTTCAAATACAACCTGCGTACATGTCGGAAGTCGAGATCATTTTCCTAATCGCTCTTTTCTCGATCCAGCCTCTATTCGCCAACGGTCTTCTCAGAGTCGGAAACGTGCCGTGAATTACGTAACATTTGTGCTCGCTTATGGCTTTCGTCAGGATCTTCAGCAGACAATTGATCCTGATCTCTGCGTCCATTATCAACTCTAAGTACTTCTTTAATGCTGTGTTCCCGTTACGATCGACTTCGTCCTTCTGCACTTCCAACAATTCGTCTAGGTCTTCGCGATTGCAAGAGATCCCGACATTCGCGGTTTCTACTTTCTCAAGCACATATTGTGAATTAGTTTTCAATTTCGCAGCCGTTACAGTCGCTCGCAGATCTTTGTTCAAGTCGTTTCTCGGGGAGATCTGTAGTTTTAAAGCGATCAATAAGATAACAGCAAAATAAGAGAAATTAAATGAATCAATAGTAGATCGATGCGAACCTGCCAGTTCTTTAAATGTTTCCTGATTGTATAGTTTTTGGAAATTACGGTTATCCGCCATTTGGATTTATTGTCAGCACAACACACCAGATTATTGTTATCGTCGCGATACATTATTTTCCACTTAATTTCACAATTTTTTAGTTTAGGTGTCGTGTATTTCTCTCTTTATTCGCGCGGATACTCTTGAAAATTTTTCTCCATCGGTCTGACAATTTAGAAAGCGACAATTCACTGCACATTCGCTTTACCCTTATCGATTGTCACGTGAATCGATAACCTACATTCATAGTCTACCGCGTGAATCCTTAGTCACGGCCGAAAATGTACGATTAAGGGACGTCTACATTGGAAGTAAGCAGTAAGAAGTAGGAAGTAAGAATAAGAAATTGACCAATTATAGTTGATTATTCTTCTCACATTCGACTGTGGTTGGTCAATTTCTTATTCTTACTACCTACTTCTTGCTATTTACTTCCAATGTAGACGTCCCTATACTCTCGCGTGCGAATTTTCTTTCTTTTTGTTTTCTTTCTTGTTTATTCTCTCTCGCGATTTTTCCCATTCGTCAATTGTAATTTCTGCATTTCTTCAATGTCTTATTCATGGACTCGTCCAAATACTTTTCCACTGCTGAATTTTCGAACACCAGCCTCTGGATAGTTTCGTATTTTGGATCCTTGATGCGAAATGATTGCGGAGGATTCGTTTCGACGTTCTTTATGCTTTTCTACTTCGAGATTCAGAGTCGGCTGCTTGGGTCGATTCGCCGAAAAGAGAGCCGACGATAATTTCGATAAGATCTTTATATCATGGCTTCCGTTGATCTCTTCGATGACTTTCTCGACGTTTTTCAGCAAACCTTTATTTCTCGTCACGCGTTCCTTTTTCCTCGCGACGTGATCGGTTTTGCAATTAAACGTATCGACGTTGGGATGATTTCTACCGATTTGTCGATACATTCCGATATTCGTAAATGGAAAATTTAATAGCGGCGCGAATTCGAATTGTCAGGAAGGGACCGCGAAGCGAATTATTTCTTTTGACACATTCGGACTTTCTTCTGTTTCGATACGTCTGTTCCCTTCAGCTGAACTTGCACTTTTCGGTGTTAGGTCCAGTTTCACAACCTCCAGTTAACTTAACTGGCTGGTTATTCCATTGAACTTGACAATCGCATTTGACATTAAGAAGAGTTAATCAGAATTAACCAATCACTATTGGAATTTAACCGATAGTTAAAATTAAACGAATATTGTGGCCTTAGAGTGAAACAAGTGTACAGTTCAACGTTGAAAGCAAAAGGAACAAGATTCTTATACATCACTAGTCTAACTGAAAAACGAACAAGCCTGACAACATCTTTCCATTTGCACCGCGAGTCTCTCGTTCTGACGGAGGAGTAAAACCATATATCGCTAATGGTATAATCGCAACATTTATTCATTGTATACATATATCACTTGTAGATAGAATTGGAGAATTGTTCAACAGCAATGAGAAGAATAACGGGTAACGAGTGCATTCGATAAGATTTTTTTAAATTTTTCTCTTTCTTGAACTACTTGGTCAGGCTCAAACCGACGGCGTACATGTCAGTGATGTCCGTTAGAATTTTGCTCTTCTTACGGTGCGTCTGCTTCTTCGGGAAGCTACGAGTCTTGCTCTCGCTCGTCGACGTGGATGTGAGTTTAGTTTTCGGCACGAATAGGGACGGCTGCGCCTGTACTTTCGCTGGGATCGTCACGTTTCTCTTGTACTTCTTCATGGCATCGCGCATCGCGGTCTTGACGATCTATCGGCACAAACGATAGAAAGGAAGGTATTGAGTATCAATTGATCGAGAAACGCGATCATTACGTATAATTTTCGTATACTGAGAAAATAATACCTGAACATTTACTGATGAGATATGAAGTTTATTTCTGTGAAATAAAGTTTGTTTCTGGGAGACGAGGCTCACTTGTGTGAAATAAACTTTTAGCCCACAAATAAATGTTCAAATATCTTTTTTTTTAGTGTGGTAGATAAACCTTCTCCTCGGTTTTCCTCGTCGGTTTCTCAGATTTGGGCGCCATGCTCGTCGATTGTTGCTGAAGCGCCATGATCTTCGAGATCAACGTCTGCCTCATCGGAGTCGTCTCTACTTTGCCGTTTACCGTTCCCGTAAATGTGCGCAACTTTCGCGTAGGCTTATGCGACGAGCTTTTCCCGTTGCTCGAGTTGACTTTTATCAGATTGCTCTATAAAGTGCGACGGAAGACACGTTATATTCGAATAATCGCAGATTTCACGCTCGTAAATGTAGAAACGTTCTTCTCGTCGAATTCTAATAATTAAATCACCTGGACGTTAGTAGGTGACTTCATTTTACTGACAGACGTGCTAACCGAGGTGCTTCTCGTGACGGTCTCGACTTTTTCATCAAAAATCGACGTCTTCGAGGGCTTCGCTGGCGCGGTCGCCGGAATCGCCGGTCTCAGCTTGGGCGAATCCAAGTTGTAATAAGAATACAATTCTTGATCGAGCTGGATCTCCAGTTCTTCTATCAAATCGACGATCACCGGCCCGATGCTGCAGTGCACCAACGATTTTTTTTTCGTCTGAAAACAAACAATTATTATCAACTATTTATGCCATCGAGTCGCTTCTTTTTATCACGGACAATTCTTAAAAGACGTCTAAAAAGACAGGACGTCTTTTAGGAGTTCATGCACTGAGAAAAAGATACTTGAAAATTCATTTGTGTCATATAAACTTGATTTCCGCAAAATAAAGTTTACTTCCGTGAAATAAAATATATTTCTGAGAAAGAAAATAAACTTCAAATTTCTCAAATAAATATTCAAGTACTTTTTCCTCAGTGTAATGTCTGGTAAACTTACCAACGGGGACTTTGCGATCAGACTGACTTTGGCATCCAGATTGTTGTTAGATTTCTTCTCGCATGTGGTAATGCGAGTACCTTGAAGTGACAAGGCTGCGCCAAGGTACGGGTGGCAGCTCGGCATTCGTTGCTTGTAAGCCAACTCGAAGTGTCCCGTGTCCGCGTTCTTATCCTCCCGAAAGTCTACCACGACTACCAACAAAGAATGTGATCTTCGTCATAACCGTGCGCATAAGAACACGAATAAACGGACTTGCGATTTGATCGTTGATCACCTTTGATGGTGTCCTCCATTACTTGTCGACATAGTCGTGTGGTGACGCTGGTGGAGTAACTCATGTCCGGATGACTGTTGATCTCGATTAACCACACTGAGAAGTCCTCCATGACCATAAAGTCGGCGCCGTACAGCTCGAAACTATTCTTCCGTCTGTCCATGGCTTCCTGACTAGCCAACAATGAGCCCACCAGACCTTGCTTCATTCCAGGATAGATCAGCTCGTCCCATACTTCTTCGTGACCTTGAGATCTGTGGAGTTTCCCCCATGAGAATTTTTGAAATTATTTGAAACTTCTTCCCAAATCTTATTTCTTTATTTACAAAAAGTCCCTTCTTTACAAGAAATATTCAAAATATCGGGTCGATGCGAAAAATTCATCGTCGTTAAACTGAGAAAATTTACTTGTAGAATGAGAATTCATTTCGCAGAGAAGTGAACTCACAAAAATAAATTTCATTTCACAGAAATGAACTCTGTATTCAACAAATAAATTTTCCAGTATTTTTCTCGCAGTATATATTTAATTCCGATAGAGAAAGTTGCTGAAAGTTGCGGGTATTGAAAAGGAAATAAAGAGGAAGACCTCGTTGTTTCCTTCTTAATATCCAGCGTTGGCACGTTTCATACTTGAGGAATTCTTTGAATGTCGTGACGTCCCACATATTGTCCGTGGGCAGGGCGGGGTCCCTGTCGCCGCAGTTATTGTATTTGCATTGGATCGCGTGATTGCACAGATGGATCGACTCATGGAAATCGTCCAGGCTGAATTTTTGCGAGCAGAAACGCAGGTAGCTCTCCCTGTGAACAGGCATCAATCAACGGAGCCTCGAGGTCTTCGATCTCCTCGACTGCGTTATCACACAGACGATTGGAGCGATTAAAGCGCAGGTGGCGCACTTCCCCATCGTGAAATCGTTCAGGTATTTATATCCGAGTGCGCGACCGCAATCGGGTAATAGGGTCACGCGCTTGAACGTCTCGGTACGGAAGAAAATTGATTATTAGCCTACTTTCGGAGGTATCATTATCTCTTACGGGCGAGCTTACGTTACTGCGCCCGTTAATTGTTCTGGCGTGAGCGATGTTATAAAATGCCGTGACTTATCTGTTAGTCGTGCATCCGTAATGCTCGCGTACCTATATATCCAGAGGGTCAAAGGTTGCGCGCATGTGACGATGAACCATTGCCTGATGTCGAACTTGGTGCTATGAATCAGCAACGGCCGTTCTGACGGGAAAATAAATGGATTCTCTGTTAAAGCACGGACGAGAATTTCTCCTGTATGCGAAACAACTGTACGGAGAACAAAGTTTGATTGAATTAGCAATAAATGAACCAAGCACGTTTTGGTTGAAGGAATCCAAATTTCCGGTTCTTAGAACGGCATTTTGGTTCATAAGAAGCAGAAACTCTGTCTGATTCGCTCGTTGTCAAGTGAATTCAGCCAAACTTTTCAATCTCCTTGATCTCATGAAAAACTCGTTACCGATATACTTCTGCACGACGTATCGCGCGTCCGACTTCCCCGTTGGATTGATCTTCGCCACCACGTCCTCCAGCTTGTTCATCAGCACAATACCGCGTCCCCGACTCTTGTTGCCAGGCTTAAGGATCCATACGTTCATTGTGCCGTCCATGTCGATCTGCGGCCAATGCCTCTTCATCTTTCTTAGTATATGCTTCGAGGCCAGCACGTATTTCTGTCGGCAAGCACGACATGATTTCTCGAATGACGCGAGCAAACGGACCAGTCGCCGTGAATAAATTGAAAAGATAAGGTAGCATAGATTACGACTCGCCGGCGGATATCTCACGTTAAAAGGTACACTGGCGCGAACGAAGAGAGCTTGTCCGTGAACGATCTGATAATACCAGCCAACAAATTGGTCCCACTGGTGAGACCAGATACGCTCGGTCTCCTGATCGATATCCTCATGTGACTGAGCGCTGATATAGTCGTTGCATCTCTTGATCGCGAAGTCGAGCGCCTTCAAGGGTATCGTCCCGGTCGGCGAGTGCACGGCATTTTCGTCTTCGGCGTTGACCTTCGTCACTAACCACTTCAAGAGACTCAGACACCCCGTAAGTCTAACGGAATTTTGTATTACATATATTACATTAGTCGGCGTATTTCATTGAGTATCCGTACTAATTATATCAATTTCGACCACGTAAATAGAAATACTAATTCTAATACACTAAGAAAAAATATTTGAAAATTTATTTGTGGGATATAAAGTTTATTCATAGAAAGAAACTTTGTTTTGCAAACATAAGCTTTATATTCGACAAATTTGCAAGTGTTTTTTCTCAGTATACTACTCTATCTGTACTTTCTCAGTAATCTCTAAGAGATTAATATAGACTGTTCCCTTAATTAGGAACATTCGCGAAATATTATGAGCTTTGATGAATCGTGAAGCTTCCTCACCGAAAGTCCTCGATAAAGGCGTGCATCTGATCGTCTTGGCATATGTTGTAGCAGCGTGGAAACAGAGTATTGGCCACTCCAGCTTCGTAATACCAGTGCATTTGTCTGACGCTCGAGCACAAACCCACCTGAATAATTGATTTTCGAAGGAGTGCAAGTGTACTCTTCCCTAACGACTAACAGGCACGCTCTCGCGAAGAACGCGCACTTCCATCAAGCTATGTCCCTTATCTAAACATCTCTATGTTTCTTTTTCAGCATTCAGATTATTCCCCGTTAATTTCGGCGATATGCAAATCATTAGTGATTAATTCAAACTGATAGGGAAAGAAACTATTTGACGCGTTATCCAATTAATTTCCCGAGTGAAAATTCAAACTGTTGCGTAATTGTTGTTGCGCACCAACAATACCTTAGACGTAAAGCCTGCTCGACAGTATCGATTGAACACAGTGATTTTGTTATCTTGCGCGGGCCAGCCGGGCCAGTCGGAGCCCGTGTTCCACAGAAAATCAACGGTGTGATTAGTGAGCATCCTCGATATCAACTGACGTTCGTTCTGCTGATCCTTTAAGTCGCCGATACCGGCCAGTAATATCACGGGACTCGCGTCGACGTTGAAATGTTGATCGGCTGAAAGAGCTGTCGTTATTCTTCGGGACTTCTTCACTTCGTACAGAAATCTCGCGTTCCACATATCGAAATTAAAAGATGTACATCGTTCAGAACTTGCAAAAATTTCTCGAATTTTTAAGCGTATTTCCAAGTCGAAATTTTGATCCACTTTTAGCCTCATATTCTATTTAACGCCTACTTTAGCCTACTCTGAAGCCTACATCAATCCTTTTTTAATTCTATTTAACCTACTAGTTTTGCTAAAAGGTTTTCCTTAGAACGTACGAGTAACATTTGTTGTGTTTTCTGCCGCTAAGAGACTTCAGTTTCTATGCGTATATTGGTCTTTCAGAATACATAGATGTTAGAAAATAGGCCGAGAGTGGCGCTAAAATTTCAACTTGGATTTTCTTTATTGTTAATGCTAGTACATGTCATGTTCAATCAAGATGCATCCACCACTTTTGCAAGCCCTTAATAGAAGTCGATTAATTACCAGCGCTGTTTCTACGGTAAAATTTCTCGCACCAGCCTCTCTTTAGCATGCAGTCACGAATGACTCGCGATTTCCCGTAGATCATGAAAGTATGATGGGCAGCTATAGCGTCCTTCACGATTTGCTTGACGCGTAAAAAGCGTTCGTGAAGGGTCGGTGGCAGTTCTTCGGGTTCGGTTCTATTTTCCGGGCAGTCTGGCTCCTCTTTAAAGAAAACAAAAGGAAACATTTGTTAGCTCGATGTTCCATTTGTTTGCGCACGTAATTTAATTGCAGGAGAAAAAAAATGCTCCCAACCTTCGAGGGGCTTGTCATCGCGATTCGTTACGTCGATGGTGTTCGTCACCACCTCTGTTTCGGCATTTTCAGTCTCGTTCTCGACACTTTCCCCCTTGTCCTTCTTGTCCTGACATGGGCTTTCCACATTTGAACAGGATTCATCGTTGGCGTTCATGTAGCGCAGCTGAGAACCGCGAAACTTTCCCGCTCGAATGCGTCTCACTGATGTTCATGGATTCTTCATCGCTTCGTGGCTTTCAGCGGAAAGTGCGAGCGAATGGCAGTCACGTTACATTAATCTGAAAATATTTTGCATAAATATACTTACACGATACACTTAATCGATCGTGTACGCTTAATCTACTAAAGAGCATTAGATTTTATATCATTAAAAATACGACTTTGATGTTCAGCGAGCGATATAAGATTCTCGAGAGCGAAACTGGACGCAAACAACGACGTTGAACGAAGAAGCGAACGAAGAACGTTAATTCCCGATAGAACCCAACGGGTCGTCACGACCTCACTCACTGCGCCACTTCTGATACCTGTTGAATCCTCGATGCTTGCTCAATGATCGGCACATCCTTCGTGAACACTCAGAAGACGATGATTCGAGCGAAACTAATCGAAGACTAATTACTATTGACGAGAAACCGAGTGAAAATACATAAACAGAGCGTGGATTTGACTGAAGATGAAGTTCTGATGGAAGTGGAGGCAAGACTGAACGACGACGACGACGACGACGACGACGAGGCGGAGGTAACGGCACGCGAGTCAGGTGGTGCAATCTAACATTTCGCAGGTGCGCGCGCGTGCCAGGGGTGTTTTAAGATGCTCCTAGTGATGGAAACATTTAAACGAGATCGTATCGACACCCCGCCGCGTTATCAACGGAATCGTGTAAGGAAATCGCTCTATTCGCCTTCAGCGAGCCTTTGGAAAGGAGCCGATTGTTTCGTGAAAATCGCAATTTGCGAGAGAGAATCGGCAAATGTGTTTCAACAATTTTCTACAAAAAAACTCAAATCTTTCGAAGATTACTCCGTAACTTCTCGCGACCTAGTTTTCTCATGTAAAAAAAAATTGTTTCACCTCCAACAGTTTTTTCGTTAACTGTTCGCTCGAAAAAGTAGAGCTTAGGCAAGCAATTCTCTCTCGTGAACAAACGTTCGCTCGAGTATCTTCTAATTGTCGCGGCTGTGCTCGTACACGAGACCAGATCGTAGCCGCGTTAACCTGGGCAATAAAGACGGACGAAACGCTCCTGGACACGTGAGCCGTGCAGGTGGTGGCCGAGCGGGAGCTTACGAGCAGCGTACCAGGCACCTCTGCACACCCCCGCAGCGCAACTCTGGCGCACGTCAACGACGAATATAGGCTAGGGAAGTCGGAGCGATCGCGTGGTTAATCGGACCACGCCGCTCGGACCGACTACGTCCGACTTTTGCGTGTGCTCTGACCCACTTACCACGGTTGCATCTCTCGTGGAGCGAGGCGCGCGGCAGGTGGCGGCTTGATGAATCGCCCCGGTCTGGTATTGCTAATTGCTAAGCGATTGCGATCTCGCCGCCCCCGACAATGCCTATTTCGGAAGCCGGCCGGGTCGGTTCGCAAATCGACGCCGAATTCGGCGCTCGGTCACGCGCGAGACGCGGCACGCGACGATCTTCGAGGACACTCTGAAATTTTGAGAGAGACAGGACACGGAGTACCGGAAAATTGGACGGATGATCTAAGTGGTTGACATGTTACTTCCTCTTACAGACGGCATCGTAAAACAATGCGGAGTGAAGTTTGCGAAATACGGGCTCCATGTGAGCGAATTTTTAGTCACGTAGCGAAGATTTCGTCACGTAGAGGTGAGCAGTGAACGACGAACCCCAATAAAATATACCTTCGCTGAGACAAGACTAAATTTAGTTATTAATTTACAGAGAAAGATTTCCATATGCTCGAAGGTCTTATGCCCGCGATTTAGCTGTTCTGTCATTCTTGAGTTCGTCTAACTGAATATTACGCTAAAAACTCTCGTAACTGCCGCTGAGAAGTTTTGTGAAGCAATCATAATAACATTATAATAACTTTTAATTGAATGTATCATAATTGCTAGTTTTTATTGGTTTTTCAAAAAAAGTTTGCAGCATCAATGCAAGTTGATTTATTGATTTCTTTTTAACCATTTGCTGATAGAGCTCGTGCTGAATGAACGCAAAATTTACCAACAGCAGATTATTTATTAAATAATAAAATTTCATCTGTTACGAATCTCGTTAAATTGGGGATTTTATTGTTGACTTGCTATTGTTACTATACAATTGCCACTACGGTAATATAACGTTTTTTAATTTATCGCATTCCTACATCTTTTACCTTAGGCCAGTATTCCGAACCTTTCATTAATAAATATCCTTCAGATGGCAATACAAGTACTGATTATTTCCTGTTAACATGAATTATAAATAGTTCCATCGCGTTAAACATTCGAACATTTCATTTATTAATTACTTCAACAATTCCTCGCGATTAATCTCGATTTCATTAGCTTAATTAACTGTGCGTTGCTGCGGGAAACGTGGCATTTCGTTGGCATCTTCTGCTTCATAAAAGACTCATTCGAAAAAAGAAGTATTGTAGCTTCTGTAGTTGCCTTAGCTGAAAGATGAAAGGAACTATGTATACGTAATTTCAAAGTACAATGCCTAGAGAAAGCCAACTGATCCTAAAGACGAGTTTCACATAAATTATCGTCATGAAAATCGAAATTATCATGTAAAAGCCCATTTAGGGACGACAAGGATTCATTAGTCTATTGAAAGCAAAGATTTTCAAGCAGCTTAGAGAGAAAAGAGGGAATAACGATATAAAGACGGAATGATGATAAAAAGGGAAGATCAGAATAAAAAAGACGATGGACGGCTTCTCCACGTCAATGGAAAATATTTCACTGAAAAGTAGGTATTAGTAAAGGATTAAAGAGTGTGCGAAGGACATAACAGAAGCACGTGGCCATTAAGTTTATAGGACCCAGAAGAGGAGAGTTTTATATGTCCTTTGAAATACGATAAAGTTCGAAAGCAGAGGTGAAACGTGAAAGGAAAATGTAGACTTAGGATTACAAGTGAAAGATAAGAATTTCCGAGGAATGTCAGACGAGTATGTGTCGCCGACGGAAAAGAGGGCTACAAAGGAATCCTTCAAGAATAGGAGTGTCAAGGAGGAGAATGTCAGTACAAGACACATGATACCGAGAGTTTCCAAAAGGTTTACGATATTTCTCATGTGATATTTTGTCGATTCCTATCATATTCTCAGGAATTTCAGGGTGAACAATAGTTGTCTTCGGGTCTTAGGCGACCCATATAACAAATATTTGAGATCAATTCACTTCTCGCGATGAAAGCTAAAATTGACTTTTTCCAAAAGAAAAAGAGAAAATTGCGATAACATCAAAATGATCAGAAATGATAAAAAAGCGAGCTTTTATAGAGATTTTATAGAGATTCTCTCGATATTTTGATGTTACCATGATTTTTCGTTTCATTTAAGCTTGGCTTTTTAACAGTCTTTCCCTTCGGCGGTCCCCCCGATGTATACCTGTAAAATGTCGACAGTCTGACGCAATTAAAATGTAAATTACAGTTTTCGGGCGCGCATTTTTCATTCGATCCGATTCATGTCGTTGTTTTTTTAATCGTTTCCAGCTAAAAGGATTAAATGCGCGTTTACGAGGGTGGTCTGAAAAGTTTCCGACCTAACAAAGATACAAGTCATTTTTTCTGAAAATTGTTTTTTATTTTTCAACATAGTCTCCTTGTAAATCTACACA